CCACAAAATATTATTCCGTCCCGAAAAACCACCCCGAATACATCGTCCCATCACTACGACCAAGACCTTCTAAAGCAATTGCTAGAATGTTGCAGTTATGCGGTCATGTAAATCATAGGATGCATTGGAGCTCTAAAGTAAACCCATATTTCCAAAGTGATGAATAAGGTGCACTGTATTTATGGAATCCTGACATTATAATAACTTTAGCATTATTAAACTCTTTAACCATCGATGCATGAAATCTGTCATATCAAGTGACTTATATAACCTTCACTGCCTCTCATTAAGATTGTCATTTCGTTAGTGACCAAAGGAGAATGTACTGGCACACCAGTAAACATGTGTACGTTATGAAACAGGGTTCTCAAATAACTAGTTGTCTAATAATCATTCCAATTAAAACAGAAGAAAATTTTGTTTGCACGGCGCCCCAACCACGTTCAAATAAAAATATCATTCTGCAGCTGCTTGGCTAGCGATAATTTATTATATAAATTATAAACTGAAATGAGGTACGACCGTAGTTCTCGTCACAACTATGGAGTCCAAGTTACCCTCATTTCATTTAATCTAACTTCTGTTACCTCAACGAAACCTAGCCCGCCTGCAATCTCAACAAGGAAAAAAGAAACTGCTGTATTAGTTAGCTTTCATTACCCGTGGCAACGTGGAGCGGTTATTACCACGATCGGGCCTGCTAAACAATGATCACTACAATGCTCGAAACATCACTGTTTCGTGTATAACGGCAGGTACCACGAGCGTTGCTTCATAGTACCATAGTAGCCAGCTTTCGACAAAAATAGACATTGAAGTTTTCTGAATTGTTCACAGAAGGGTTGCAACTAAACAAATTATTGATTGACTCGAGTCTTGGGCCTCAATTAGAATACAACATAATTTCGAGCAATCCTGCTGTGAAAGTCTCGAGCCGCTTGGCAGAGCGAGAACGTTAGTGATGCTAACAGAAAAATTATCATTGGCTAATACAGCGAGCTAACCTGTGCATTGAACAAAGCGATACTGACCGCTCCAGCTAGCTGCTCTTTGAGGTGAGATTAGAAGAGAAGCTACATGAGTAAACTACACGATATTGCTATGGTTAGGCTTTGTGCTTTGATCAAAAACAGCACTTTGTCTCGGATCAAATACAACGCCTCCTTAGTAGAGTGCTACCAAATAGAGAACCGCAAGATACCGAGAGGGCACTCGGCAACATAAGTAGATCGCATACTAATTTGAATTGTACGTTAAAATAAATTTCGGTATCATAATTGGCTGGCTCCGGTACAGGGAGGCTGCGGTTGCGAACAAAGCCACCAAACCCCATACATGTAATTACACGTTACAACGCCCACATTAATATATTCACCTATATCGCTCTATCCGTTGTCTTAAGATGCACATCCAACCAGTGGTACTCCTGTGACAGCCCAAGCCTAATAAATAAGAAATTTTTGCACTTTGATCTTCTGGAGGACGAGAGTCTGGATATAAAAGAAATATTAGCAAATTTCGATTAGAAATCTGTGTGTATTGTAGTAATTATGAATATCGTGCTGGACCATTGAAAAAATCTTCTTCTTTCTCAGTGCTAAGTAATCTGAACACCACCGTGTAGCCGACAAAACCCACAAAAGTATCAATCTATGGTATCTCGTTAATGTACTTATATTACTCAAGAAGTCCACTCAGTTTTTTCTGGGGGTAGGAAGCATTTTAATTGTAAATAAAGGACAGCCAGCAAGGCTGAATTCGGTGGGGCGTTCACCCAGTATACTGATACAGATACTTTTACGTCAGCGCAATCTTGGCTCCTAAAAGCTTTATTGTGATGAGAGGGTCCCTACCGGTACACCAATACGAATCTAGTACGGGAAATGTGCCATCCAACGGCGGTAGGATGGTCGTCAGTGGTAGTGATTGAAAATCTTATTTAATGTTTTGACCTGATTATAGGGAACATTGCTTTACTAGAAGAAATAAGTCAACTGCAGGGCAGATCATAACAAATAATATGTTTTACTGCTGGAGTTGCAGCTGTTCTACCAACAGCGTTGCACGCGGAACCGAGATGAAAACCGTCCTGTTTCGTAAGGCTTATAGCGTCGTATCATGTCATATCAGATACTGCATACATGTACAATTGCGGTTACCGTATCGAATTGGCCTCCTGCTCTCCTCCAAACTGGCGCATGTTGTAACATTGTCACATTGTAAGCTTTGATGTACTACTGACTCTGTTGGCGTTGCAGGTTG